CCCCAAAACCCCAAAACCCCAAAACCCCAAAACCCCGTTTAAATTTTTTCTAATTGACAATAATAATAATGAAAGAACAAGGTAAGCTCCTAATTCATTAAGAATATTTTTGCTTTAGTTTAGTTTATTCAAATAGGAATTTATAAGGAACATACATAGTTTTATCGAAATTAAAAGCATCGGCAAATTATAATGAATAGCATCACATATTTAACACATTCTGAAATTAAACCATCATATTTCAGAAAAATCTATCTCAAGGCTAAAAATCTCCAGAATTAATACAATCTAGACTATCTTTTATCTGTATCCCTAGTCATGTCTCCTCCTAGTTTTTAGCCTACCTAGTGTCCTATTCCCATAAAATTTTAGCATTTACCCTGATCTTCTTCACAAGTTAATCAATTTTATTGCAAAGAGCAATACTTATATCTTCATTAACCTTAAAAATTACTCCTAAAGTCTCTAATCCTAGAAGACTTCTTTACGTCTTTCTTTCCTCTTTAGTTTAATATTTTAGCATAAATTTATGTAACTTCTTGATGCATTTTCCTTTTTATAGAACAAATCTCTCCTATAAACAAAAGTTTTGGGTCCTATCCTTCCTCTTTGTCTTTAATCTGTTGTTTTGTCAATACAAAGATTAAGGATTCTACTTTTAATAACTTAAAAAAGAGGTGGAGGAGGAACTTTCATAGCATAATCCTCAATAAATTTAGAAAATCTCATAATTTTGATGATTTTACCAGCCAATAGATATTCTCTAGTCATAGAACTTCCAAAAGCAATTTCAGGTCTTACTAAAAGCTGATTTTTATTCTTCTTGAGCTATTTTTACTGCTACATCTAATTTTAGTCTATTTTTTGTTATAATTTGGGTTTATTTTGTTCTAAAATTGTTGATGAAAATACCACTGAAGTCGGATAGGATTTCAGAAGTATTAGAGCAATTGGGAGCTTACTTTAGAACAGCTATTAAGTAATTGGATGAACTTAGTTATCAATCTTATGGAACAGACTGGGATGTCTTAATAAGCAGAAATATGAAAATCTAGATAATAAAGGGCAACCGTTTGGCCAAGAAATATTAGAACTACGGTGATAGGGGGTCTTATAGGGATATGTGTATGAAACTGGCTGAAAAAGTATTTTGAGTTAAAAAATATCATTTTTGTATTTAATACGATGCTTAGTGTTTGAATCACTTATGATCTAGGGTTGATACATTTGTGCCATATTCAAGAAAAATGAATTGTCTATCATGGTTTCTTACGAGAAATCAGATTGACTGGCTTTCAATTTAAGCTACTCATTAAGGATTTTCAAAATCAATTCTCAAAATTGAGTTTCTTATTGTATAAAATCTCTGTCTATATATTTTCGGGAAATAGTTTCGGCTATTTCAAAATCATACCAGATTTTGTTATAAACAAATATCGATATAAAAAGATGCTATTATTTACGATTTAATTTCACTCGATAACTTTTGTGATGTAGCAACATCACTCGAAATAGCTATGAGGACAAGAGGAAGCCCAGAAATCAATAATCGGAATAACAAAGTCAGAAACATGTTTGTATTAAGAAAAGGCAATTCCACTCGAGAGTCTGATAACCTTCGCAAATCTTCTAATGAAAACTTGAGCAGCAATGTCTATATGTGCTCTACAAAATCAAACCTAAATGGAGATAATTCGAAAGACTGAACTGTTTCCACAAAAATATATGGAATGGATCGTCAGTCAAGCATAAATTCTCTAGCTGAAACAGACTCTTGATATACTAGAGACAACTCTTTGGGATCTCAGTTTAATAGAAATCCGAAACATGCTTCATCCAATGGGTTTGAAGGACAAAAGGGATTTGACCCATATTGCCATGGGTTTAGCTTCAAAACTCCACGTCAAAAGCAAAATGCACAATTGGCGTCTATAAATAAAAAGTCAAAAGTAAACCAAGATAAAAGCATGAATATTGCTAATAGAAATATTCAAGTGCGCGCAATTGCCTCAACTCGGATAAACTGGAAGGTCAAAAGCAACGGATTTAAAGAGATATATGAGTGCAACCAGAGGAAATCAAAAGTATGCCTTCCACAATCTTCCATCAACCCTTTGTTTAGAATGAGAGTGATAATCTTCCGAATGAATTGGGCCCGATAGATCACAACAAGGGGTACCCAAAACATCTCTTGTCAGGATACAAGAAGGTTCAGAAGGATCGAATGAAGAAGTATCAGCATCTCCCACAAGAAAATATTATGGTACTTCTGGATGAATAATTCTGTAGGAAGAAAACATAGAGGAAGAAAATTTCTCTGATTTAGACAGATCTCATGAAGGATCTCCATACGTAAAGCCTTCAACAAATAAAAAGATCAAGGATTTCTACTCGAAAGATTTTGAGTAAGGTTCTGAATACAATTCTAGAGTCATGTATTCAAAATAATGAGAAGAAAGATATCCAGAGAAGGCTAAAAAGTAATAATAGAAATTTATTTTAGAATTCAAGAAAATCAGAAACCAGATGCATAATTATCATGCCACTCAAAACGGATTTGATTCTGATAGAGAAGAACAGCTTGCGGTCCTCAGGTCGATTAAAAAGAACACTTTGAACCATAAGATACTAAATAAGAGGACTGCCGGAGATTCTGGTAATTTTAAGGAAGGGGTGGTATTGAGTAAAAAGTCGTTGTCAACGATCAACCCTCCAGAGTACACCCTATCGAATGGGTACACCAATGGGATTTTGCCAAACTTGAAATTAACAAACAATCACCAAGTCTTACAAGATGAAGAGACAACAAAGTCTAATTCTCCTGGAGAGCTTCACACATATGGGAGAGCATTCTACTCAAGAAGAGAGGAATCCCGACAAAAAGACTCAAGTAATTGATTGTTTATTTTTCTTTTTTTTCACAGTGTTCATAGTTAAAACTTCAATCATTCTTTTCGTAAAGTTGCTCCAAATCGGGAGAAATCTTGAATTGTTCTCAAATAATCATATTATGCCCTCAGTAAATTTCAAAAAATCATTTGTGACTCTTCTCTCCCAAATCCCTGTTATTAGAATTAAAAATTCTCAGCCCAAACTTGTAAACAAGAATTTTGTTCTTTTCTAATTCTTAACATAGTTAAATAAGTCTTCGTCAGGAATGAGAAATCTGAAAAACAATAAAAATTTCTCAGTAGATGTTAGAGAGTACTTCCATGAAGGAAAGTCAGGAACAGATTTCAAGATCCCCATAGAGCAGAACCATGGCAAGAACAGAAGAGGGCTTAGTAAGGATCAGCTAAACTCTAACCCTGAAGACCTGAACCTGTTGTTCTATAATTTCCACTCAAGTAATGAAAATCTTGATGGTAAAATCATAGAAGAACAGGAGGAACTTGAGGATGACCTCATCCTTGAGCCTACAAATTGTACGAATTGTTTTCCAAACATAACTTATAGATGAGGAGTATATAAACCAGAAGTCAATCCCTCTAGAAGGGAACAGGTACCACAAAGAGTCCAGTTTTGATAGAAGAAAGCAGACTGACCAAGTTGAGACCACTCCTTTGCCTCTTGAAGAGTTCATGAGCAATTATAAAACAAAGAGTAAGATTTTTAATGAAATTTTTATAGGGATAAAACAAGATGTAGGCCAGAAAACAATGATCAACTGGGCCAAGAATAAAGATAGACTTCCTACTAGAGGAATCAATACCAGAGGTTGTGGCAGGAGGAAAAATAAACTAGCTTAATATTGCCGAGGCATAGAGCTGAAGTCCTTTGCAAAGAGGCATAGGATATAGTATGCAACTCATTATTCTTGTGTACAAATTTTATTCTGATAGATAAAAATGGGGTTTTGGGGTTTTGGGGTTTTGGGGTTTTGGGGTTTTGGGGTTT